CTTGAGATCTAAAACCATATAGTCATGATTAATTCAAAGAGATTAACAATAATCAAAAGAGCGGAAGCTTATACCTGAATCCATGTATGAACCTTGAGATGGGTTTTTTTGGATCTTCTAACCTTAGGGTTTCTCTAAATCCGAATTTCTCTAGCTAGATGGGGGTGTAGAGAATTAGAGAATGTAACCCTAGGTTAGGGACCATAACCCCTTATTTATAGATGTTGTACTTTTGTAATTTAGCCCCTCAATAAATCACAATTACAACCTGGTATCTGCACATATAACCCCATGACTTATTTAAATACCCAATTAACCCAAATTAATTGATCACTTTAGTGGGTTATCCTGAAAGATAGCAATACACATTGATTAATCATATGTGCCCACAAATAGATTTATTAGATTAAATCCAACATCCCTTTGGATGGAAAGAAAATTTTTACTTTGCTTGGGACTATAGATTCCATATGAAAGAGGACAAGTTACAGAGAAAGCCCCCACTTATAAGGAAAACATTGAAAGTTCTGACTGAGAATTTGCCTAACGAATGAAGAGACCACGAAATTGTATCAGGAGAGATAGCTGAGGTAGGCTTATGAGAGATAAGAAGGAGATAGATACAGTGTATCAACTCCCTCAACCTCATAGTATCCCCTCTTCTAATGAGAGGGTGCCACCTCCAGTCTTGGATAATAAAGTTGCCTTGAAATTAAACATTCACATTGGAAGGCCAAACTACAGATCTCAGGGAATATGCTCTGCAAGGCGTTGTATCCTATCCATTTATCCTCCTAAAACCCGATAGACAAGCCATTGCCTAAAAAGCTTTGAGGAAGGGATAGAGATCATGATTTTTTTTTTTTGATGCAGAGCTCTTTGGTAGAGATCAACTTAGGTTGGAATGTTGCTTGGAATATATAGAGTTGACTACACGGCTGACCACAAAATTATGATGCAAGAATTTCCCTATCCATTTAGACATGAGAGTTTAATTGAAAGTGGATAAGTTCAGAATTCCCAACACCCCCTAATAGGAACTGCTTCCTAATTTTATTAATGCGCTTGATGAGCCAAACTAGGAGTTTGAAGGACATGTAGTATAAAGGGAGGGAGGAAAGCATAGAGATGACCAGTGTAAGTCTTCCACTTACGGATAGAGATCTACTTTTTCA